GAACAGTTTATTGCTAATTATCGTACGATGTGATCATTTCTCATATTGGTTTTGTGTTTTCTTTTCTTGGTGTGTTTTTTGTTTCTAGGGCCACGTAAAACTCTCAGATTTTGGTCTATGTACTGGCCTAAAGAAAGCCCACAGAACAGAATTCTACAGGAACTTGAACCACAGTCTTCCCAGTGACTTCAGTGAGTGCTTTGGCTTCAGAAGGTGTTCTGTGTACTGACAGCCCCTCTCAGTGTGAGGCTCCAAGGCTGCAGTGAGGGGTCTCATGACCAGTATTGCATCTTGAGGTGTACTTTTCATTTTCTGGTAGCAATTTCAGTTCCATTTAAACAAAACCATCTTCCTGTTGTCTTTGAAATAGAGTCTGCTGCAGCCCTTCTTTCTATGTGAAATAAACCTCGAATGAACACTCTGTGTGAGTTGGTAGATGGTGGGTCTATCTCAGGTGATATTTAAATGACTGAGCGAGCACAAAGTCTCTTTGAAGAGTCAGTTGTTTTCTCAAGGGGGATAACTTTGATCATGGGCTGCTAATGAAAAGCTTGATAAAATTTTATTGCTACTACATAGGTTTGGAACTTGCTGGTGGGTTGAGGGTATTGACCTGGGTAAGGCCCTGGCTGCCTTTTTTGTTGTCAAGAGCTTTAGTGTAATGGTTTGGTGGTAAAAGTATATTGGGGGACCAGTGGGATTCAGTCCCATATATCCTGATCTCTTTCAGCTTTCCAGAACATGAATTCCAAAAGGAAAGCAGAGACTTGGAAGAGAAATAGACGGCAGTTGGTAAGTACATTTTACCTGCTTGGTGTTCTCTGCTGAGCTGTTGCATTCAAATAGCATGTATTTAAATGACAGCTATTAATCCAGAGTTCTGAGCAATGCTGAAAGAATAATTCAGAAAGAAATAATGCTTTCTCTTTTAGAAAGAGGAATGACTCTTGTTTGTCCTTCATCCCTCTGCTGAACAGCTGGTGACATATGTGCCTGAGGTAGCGCTGTCATCATTATTTACATTGATAGCTGATGCCTCCCAGCTGAAACAGTTCAACCCTGGTTTGTGTTGGAAGGGACCTTAAAGCTCCTCCAGCTCCAACCCCTGCCACGGGCAGGGACCCCTTCCACTGGAGCAGCTTGCTCCAAGCCCCTGTGTCCAACCTGGCCTTGAGCACTGCCAGGGATGGGGCAGCCACAGCTTCTCTGGGCACCCTGTGCCAGCGCCTCAGCACCCTCACAGGGAAGAGCTTCTGCCTAAGAGCTCAGCTCAGTCTCCCCTCAGGCAGGTTCAAGCCATTCCCCTTGGCCTGTCCCTACAGGCCCTTGTCCCAAGCCCCTCTCCAGCTTTCCTGCAGCCCCTTTAGGCACTGGAGCTGCTCTAAGGTCTCCCCTTCAGGAGCCTTCTCTTCTCCAGGCTGACCCAGCCCAGCTCTTTCAGCCTGGCTCCAGAGCAGAGGTGCTGCAGCGATGACCCTTCCAAGATGTATATTAACAGTGGTACCATTCCCCTGATGGCATTTTAAGACTCCTTCACATGAACATGGTGATTTTTGTCTTTCCATATCTTGAAAAATGCTTTAAATAACTTTGCTAAAGAATTTCGGAGACAACCTGGTGTCTTCCTCAAAATAGGCTCTGTTGCACAAGTTTCCACATCCGTATGAAGCAGCTTTCTCTAATGATGCCTGACTGATGGTGTTTGTTCCAGGCTTTCTCTACTGTGGGAACCCCAGATTACATTGCTCCTGAGGTTTTCATGCAGACTGGCTACAACAAGCTTTGTGACTGGTGGTCGCTTGGGGTCATCATGTACGAGATGCTCATCGGTAAGAGATGCAGTGCACAGGTTTTAAGCAGGAATTGTGTAGGGTATCAGCTGTATCTGTGTGCTTGGGCTCAGCTGCTCAAAGCATCCACTCTTAGGTAGTTTGTGAGGTGTGTTCTGGCTGCTGCATCATAGGCTTCAGTAACAACGGGAGCTGGTTCTGCTTTGGACAAGGTTGGGTTTTTCTTTCTTTTCAGGTTATCCACCCTTCTGCTCTGAGACTCCTCAGGAAACATACAAGAAAGTCATGAACTGGAAAGAGACTCTGACATTTCCTCCAGAAGTTCCAATATCTGATAAAGCCAAGGATCTTATTTTAAGGTGCCAGGCCTATGGTTTGTCAGTTAATAGAGTACTTTCTTGTCTTGTCAGCTGTATTATATGCCTCTCATAGCTTGCTTCACATGAAAACCCTGTGATGCTACATACTGTTACACACATGCATCAAGTGCTGAACTCCCTCGTCAAATACATTTGTGTCTCAGAGGTCATTTAGTGGTTCCCTGACTAAATGTGCTGAAAAGCAGCTCCCATGTAAGTGCTGCTATTCTGGCAAAATACAAATGTTTCTGCTCTTTATTTTGTCTATGAGCTTCTTACGAAGCAACTTAAATCTTTCTGGTCGTGTAAGCAGAGCTTGCTGCTTACCCTAGCAATGGTTTTGCCATTGTAAGCACTGGCGCATACAAATGTATCCCAGTGCATGCTGACTGCTACTCTTCCATTTATATATTCAATCACTTCTCTATTTTCAGGACAGAAATATAAATGTCTAGCTCTTTAGGCTTTATACGTTCTCCTGCTCTGCACTGGTCCTGAAATAGAAAGGGCACATTATCCTCTTGGGAAAGAATACCACGTCTTAATTGTAGCATTTGATGCAACGTTCCTAAACATAACTCTGTGTGTTGGTTTTGCTGTGGGAGTTCTTAATCTTCTCCATTTATATGTTAAGAAACCATAGCAGTACCAGTTCGGAAAGCTGTTCCATTGTGGGATGGAATGCTTTCGTTTTCATTCTTCCTTCATTGTCATTCTTCCTTCCGTCCCAGATTTTGCTGTGAATGGGAGCACAGAATTGGTGCATCTGGTGTGGAGGAAATAAAGAGTAACCCATTCTTTGAAGGGGTTGATTGGGAGCATATCAGGTAAGATGCTTCGCAGCAAAGCAAGCTGCTCTGCTCTATGGGCTGCTTAGAGCCAGTCCCCTTCAACAGAAGGGAGCAGCTTGGTTGGCATTTGTCATATCCAGGTGTGGGTGAGAGTGTTTTGGTCCCTGTCTGAAGCTTGCCAAGGTTTTCGTACCTTCAGTCTTTGATTCTGTTAAGAAATGGGAAGTGGCTGAATCCTGCTTTCTGCTGCCTTTGAAATCTCATTGCTGAATCTGCTCTTCCTGGCAGAGAGAGGCCTGCTGTGATTTCCATAGAAATTAAAAGCATTGATGATACCTCAAACTTTGATGAATTTCCAGAATCTGATATCCTTAAACCAACAGGTAAATGCTTTGATTCTGCATGTAAAGAATCCTTTTTCTCCAACAGAATAACATAAATTTCCTGTTAATCAGAGAAAGGATCTTACTAGATACTGGCTTCTTTTATCGTGATCACATTGTTCGCTTGGTAGCCTTGTGGTGCAGGGGTGTGCAAGCTGTAATATGGGGTTTGGGAGATGGGATGCAGACTTGTAAATGATGCAGAAGCATCTGAGGGCACCTCTAAGAGGCAGCAGAGCTCAAGTCTCAGCAGGTCCATGAGCCCAACCCTGCAGTGTCCTTTGGGACTGCCTAATTCTTGCTGGTCTAATGCTTAGTGTAGGGGGTAAGGGTATGGTGGGACAAGAGGTGAGAGGTTTTGGTGTAAATCTCTAAAGGATCCTTGTGTTTATGTGTCAGAACATCAAAGCATCATCACACGTTTGCTCCATATGCTTAAAGAACATGTTACAGTGGCTTTTGACTGGGGTTGAGGAATGGCACACTGAATGCCCAGACTTATGGTTATTTCTTCATTTAGAAGCACTGTGCCCTAGTCGACATCCAGTGTTCTGTAGGAAACTAAACTCTGCAGTCTTCAAAGGGTAACTTTGGTTTTCCCATGTCTTAGCAGTGGCCACCAGCAACCACCCAGAGACTGACTACAAGAACAAGGACTGGGTTTTTATCAACTACACCTACAAGCGATTTGAAGGTCTGACGGCCCGAGGGGCGATCCCATCCTACATGAAGGCAGGAAAGCAATAAATCATTACCTGGGACAACTTCTGAGCCATGGAATTCTGCTCCCGTACTTTGGGTCTAGACCCCCACAAGAACTACTTCCTTTTTTTAATGCAAACTTGAGGGCTGTGGACTCTCAGAGAAGACTTCAGGACCCGGTTTTGTTACACACCCTGCTTGTTACTGAGGACTTTTTCTACATCATTGGATGTTTGTGTCATCTCTGCTACAAGCACGTTTTGCTGCTTCAGAAGCACGAGTTTGTCTGTTTGAACTCCTTGCCAGTTGTACACTCTGCTGCGAGAGCATCCCTTCCCTTGGACATGCAAAGCTCTTCATAGGGACTGCTTTGCCAGTCCTGCATGAAGTGAAAAACTCAACTTGCCAATTCTGCCAGTGCTGTCTTCCCTAGTGGCAAAGGACTTCAGTACAGAGGAAACAAAGCAATAATGAAAGCTTGAGACAGAAAACTCTCCAGTAAACTATGTAGTAGAACACAACTCAGATTGCCTTAACCTTAGCTTGTAGTGCTGGTTTTTACTTGGAAGCCTCTCTAATGGCATTTCTCAACTCTGGTGCAGCAGCCTCCAGTTGCAGTGCACTTTACTTTTGGTACTAAGACAGGATTTGACCCTCAATCCATTTAATGTTGTTCTAAACTGTGCAACACTTTCTTTATTTGGCAGTCTTAGGAGAAACGGGCCAGTTCCTCAGCAAGCACCAACAGTTTTCACTTACTGTATGCAAGGATGGATCTCTCAAGGCTGCAGATAATGCAAACTTCAGCTGGTAACCCAAGTGGATCTGGAATTAGAGCAGAGAGGAAAGGAAATGCATTTAACCTGAGCCTTGCTGGGGATCTTGTGCGCAGCCTGGTCAGCCAGGAGGCTTCCCGGTCCTGCTGCTGCCATCTTTTGGCCACTTCTAAGATCTGCTGCATCTTCACTGGTTCTGTGGCCTTTCTGCTCTTGGTTTTGAGCAAACAGCATCGGATTCGTCCATGAGTCTTGCTGGTGGAGGCCTCCCCGGCTTTTCCTGAAGGAGTTTCTCTTGCTGTGTGAACCATCAGTCCCTGTAGTCTTCCAAAGAGACAGTGATTATGGGCTCAGTGTTGGGGCAATGGAACCCACTTTTCCCCTCTTTTCCTCTCTTTATCTTATTGCCTGGTGTCATTTCTACAAGTACATTCAGTTATGGTCAGGTTGCTCTCCAGGAGAGCTGGAAAGTGCCTTGCCTTGCCTGGGCATCCCAGAACATGCCTGCAGTTTGGGAGGGAGGATTCTGCCTCAGCTGAGCTTTTGCTAATCCCTTTTTGCTCCACTTTGCACCTATTTTGTAGTTAACTCTGCAAAATGCCTCTGGTTAATGGGTCCAGGGGCAGGAGGCATTAACCTTTGGGCCTGCCTGGTTCCAGTCTTTAACTTGCAATTAGGTCTACGAATACGTGTATAAATGTGATGAGGTTTCTAAAAGCTTGTATCAATTTGAATTGTCTTGGATTCTTGCAAACTTCCTGGTGCTGAATACTAACTGCATAGCACAGACAGACAAAGCTGTTCAGAAACAAAGCCAGAGCAGTGTTTCAAGGTCAAAGGAAGCTCTCAGTTATATTTAATCCTAATATTCTAGATTAGGAGGTGAAAGAAATTGAGTTTGTTGTGAAACTTGTTTTAATATGTGCTTTTTAGGGGAATTTTTACCTAGATGTCTTTTGAATTGAGTGCCATTGTGAAGGACTGATTGGGGGATTGGAGTGCTGTATATAGCTAACAGTGAGTGATAACTGCTTAGCATCCTTCCCCTGACCACTCCTTGTGCTTTTTGTATGTATCCTAGGAGTTGCCATAAGCAGTGTAGATACCACTTGGATCCTACAGAGCTGAAATGCAAACATAGCCTTAATCAGAAGTCCCAGGATCACTGCAGTGAGCAGGGCTTACTCCAATGAATAAGGGCTAACTGAAGCTATGAGTTACAGGGTCAGGATTTTCATCGGCTAGTCAGTAATAGCATCTTCTGCTCCCTTTTCCCTTTTTATGGAGGACTGATTCCAACTTCCCAGATTGCTCCATCTCCTTATCCTGCAGGCTTTTTCCAGCCATGTGAAAATGTTGCCTTACAAACCATTGGGAAACTCTGAGATGTTAATATCAAACCAGTCTTAAACCTTCCTAACAGCTTAGTTACTGCCTTAAAATAATGATAATTAAAAACTCTAAGTCCCTTCAAGCTGCTGTGGCTTAGGAATAAATGATTTTTGGGATAGTAGCTGCATTATTAGCCCTTTACTGAAAGGGACTGGCATTTTTATTTCTAAATACCAAAGATGAAGTGAAGCAACTCAAACTTGTGATAATTTGCTGTAAAACCAACCCTTTATGGTAACGTGGACTGTGCATTTTTAGTGCATGTGTGTTTGGAATCCTCTGGTTGTTACTTTTTGAGTTAAAGGTCAAGTTTTCCAAAGGCACAAGGAGCAGTTGTCACCCTCACTCCTGTTGTATTATGGTTGTGTTGTGAGCCTGCTTCCTGCTACAGCAGAGGCAAAGAGTACAGCATCTTCTTTCCAGGATCCAGTTTTCATTTCATTTTCAGATGAATGTTTTACTGTGCCTGTTCCATGTTAGCCAAACATTTTCCTTAGCTCCCGGCTCGTGTATTGAGGTTGTATGTATCTCCTAGCTCTAGTTTTTACATAACCTGCAAGCAGTTGCTGGCCTTGCAGGAGTAATTCCAATCTGAATTTCCAATGGATCTGACCGTGAGTGATGCTGCCTTCATCTCCGTATCATGCCTAGCACAAAACTGCACTAAGTGTTTCTTACCACTGCGCACTGACTCTGCCTTAACCTGTAAGTCAAAAGAAGCATCTGTAAATGCTTCAAAGCTGTTACAAAACTGCACTGTACAATGGGGCAGGGGGAGTGGGGGTTGCTTTTTATGGGACGATCTTTGTATTGTGTTGTGTAAATAAAATCCTCTTAGGAAGGGAATCTCTCGGGTTCTTGTTTCAGACTTGAAACTCATTTTAGAGTCAAGGGCTTGGGGGTGGGAATGCAGCAGCAACCCACGGGCTAAGGGACAGGCTGAGAACATTGGGGCTGCTCAGCCTGGAGAAGCTGGGGGGAGACCTGAGCAGCTTCCAATGTCTGAAGGGGGCTACAAGGATGCTGGAGAGGGACTCTTCATCAGGGACTGCAGTGACAGGACAAGGGGTGATGGGTTCAGACTGAAACAGGGGAAGTTCAGGTTGGATCTAAGGCAGAAGCTCTTCCCTGTGAGGGTGCTGAGGCGCTGGCACAGGGTGCCCAGAGAAGCTGTGGCTGCCCCATCCCTGGCAGTGTTCAAGGCCAGGCTGGACACAGGGGCTTGGAGCAAGCTGCTCCAGTGGAAGGGGTCCCTGCCCATGGCAGGGTTTGGAGCTGGAGGAGCTTTAAGGCCCCTTCACCCCAAAGCAGTCTGGGGTTCTGTATTTCCTATAGATGCACATCAGCAATGCACACCCTGTTAAAGTGCTGTGTCCAGAAGAATTAAACCTTTCTGGCAGAGTGCAACTGGCCTTCGGGCAAGGGTGGACAATCCTGGCCTTACTCGTGCCTATGTGGCTGCAGTGTGTAAATGTAACTTCATTTTACCAGCTTCAGGACAAGTTGGTTTTCATCTCTCCTCTTTCTGTTTTTAAAAGGGACAATAAGCAGTGGGCACATGGCACTGGAAGCAAAGCTCTGACCCCTCATTTTCCTGCCAGTCTGTAACATGCCAAAATGCACTGTGGTTCTTAGTTCATCGCTTCCCCCTTGTGACAGCTCCACTTGTGAGTACAAGTTCCTGTCATCATTCCAGTAACTCTGTTGGTGGCCTTCTGAAGCCTCATCAAGAAAACCCTTGAAGTACATCCACCACTGAAGATGGGAATAAAAGCCAGACCTGCCCCAAAGCTGTTTTCTTCTGCAGCTGGAGTAGGCAGAAGTGGAGAGTGCCTTTCACATCAAAAGCAGCACTCTGACCTGGTGTAGATGCTGCACAGCTGTTGGGTTCAGTAGTGTTGCATCATTCCTGCACTATGTGCTGCTTTTAGAACATCACTGCAATGAGCTGGTAAACTCCAAGTAGTAATGCTTATGTGTGGGTGCTGCACAAGCACCCATGCTGCCAAACCATTTCTGTGTCTTCGGGGTCCCCAGCCACACTTACTTATGAAGGAAGAAACAAAACTTTCAAGTAACAGATCCCCTGCCCGTTCTTCTACTCCCCATTTAAAATGAGTTTTAGACGAGCCAAACAAGCCAGGTATAATTTATACTTTAATACAGAAAAGAAACCATACAGCTGTAGTTCACACACACCACAGGTAACACTGCAGTAGATCTAGAGGAAGACAAAACTTGACATACCTGAAGTAGGTGACCATGAGAGGAGAAGCAAAAGCTAATGCCTGTTTTTCACTTTGATTTAGTGTTCCAATAGAATTCACTCTACTAAACAAAATAAAGCTCATCTTAAACTCCTTGGAAAAGCCAATAAATTGCAGTGGACTTTTGGAGGGGTAAAACCTGTGTGGAAATGATGGGTGCTGGATAACTCCATCCATGCTGAAGGTCCAACTGATTACCCAGAGTGCCAACAAGCTTCAACAAGGCACTGCCAGTCTCCAACTCTCATGCAATGGCCTGTTTACAGTTAAGTCCTTATGATACTAAACTGGCCAAATCCTTCCAGAGGTTTGTTGATGCTAGGCTCAGGGGTGGACACTGGGGGCATTTGTTTTGGTACTTGGCTGTCAGGTCCCATCGAAGTCAGATGCCTTGACACAATCCTGTAGCTCACCAACACACACATTTCAGGTCCATAGAACAGAACCATGTGTAATCTCCCATTGCAAGTCAGCTGGTCAATACTAACAGACATTTACTTCAAACTTACACAGCTGGAAAAACAAATACACACAGAAAAAAAGAGAATTCATAGGTCCTAGGGCCAAGCTCCATCACTGCTGGGCAGTCTCACCAGTGCCTTCAGCTTGCAGAAATGGCAGGCAATGGGCTTGATCTGGCCCTTAGCTGGCAGGCTGATGGTCCACGTGTCTTCCTTTCTCTACTACAAAAATAGAAATTCACCTAGAGCAAGAATGGGAAGTGACTGCCACCATCTCTGTGCTGATCCTGAAGGACACTTCTCTATCCCGATCCACTGACACACAGGGAGGATTCTGCAGAAGTCATCAGGTGGACCCGGGTGTCTGAACCACTGAGACCCCCAGGAGGTCCTGAAGTCCTTCTGGAAACCTTCCCATAGGCACTTAGAAAAAGAAGAAATCAATTTGCTGCACTTGGGAAAGAAGCTAAGAACAGAACCACTGCAAAGAATAGAACTGTATCCACACAAATGGGAGCTAAATATATCAGCAAGTTGATGCCTTGGCAGAGATTTTGTTACTTGCAACTAAACTCATAAACCTTCAGGAAAATCTGTGCTTGAGATTGTTATGGTACTTACACCAAAAACCCAAACATCCTTAGCAGCAAACAGTAACTTCAGTGCTGTGTCTACCATACACTTTGCAGACAGATGGAGAACATGACAAGATTTGCTTTGTAACACAACCCTGGCAACAAAGAATTAAACCTTCCAGGGGAGAATACCTACCTCTCTTTTGCCAACTATGACCAGGTAACTGAATGTGTAAGTGGTACAGGACTCAACACAGCCAACTGCAAGAGAACTAACCTGAACTTAACAACCTTGCAAGGGAGCTCTCTCCCTCCCTTTGAGAGAGTTTCAGCTTTTCTTTGCACCACATTTAATTCTGCTTTGGGTACATAAAACCTCTACACAATCATCAGAACAACCAAAAGCCCGTTATGGTTGATGTGCTGCTTGGCTGTGGTGGTTCTGAACTCACTGTGTGCTACTCGGGGTTAATGAAGCCTACAGGTACCTCCACACTGGAGGAACAGGACCATATGGCTTTGATATAACTCAGCTAAACCAGCCTGGAGCGTGTCTTTACTCACAGTAAACCCTGTTGTCTCTGAATCCAAAATGAACAGAGCCTTAACCACAGACTAGGGTACTATAATCAGAGCAGCAGAGAAGTGTTGCTCCCAGGTATGTGTATTTTTCTCTGCTGAAGGCTGGTTTCTTACCTGCCTGATAGCAAAATGGTGCAGTCACTTCCAAACTGGGAAGACAGTAGCTGGCCTTTTCAAGCTGCAACAGTGGAGTGCTCCTGGGAGAGTCTACAGAAATACTGACCAAGGGGGATGAGACCAAGGAATTTACTTAGGGAGTAAACTGTCTGTACTGGGAGCTCCTCCACTTCTGTCTTAGCAGGGGGATGGAGGAGACAACTGATAGTCTTTAGCATGCAGTCACTTCTAGAAAGCTTTTTACACCTATTAGGCTACTAAACAGATTTACTTTGTTGGTAAAATATCAACTACAGTCTCTTCTTTATTTTCTTTTTCCTTCAATATGATCTACTCATTTTGCTGAACTTAACAGACAACATCCCTAAAAACAACGATTCCATCCTATGGAGAAGTATATATGGACAATTCCTGTCACCTGTCAACAGGGATATACTTCCTATTGAGCTAGTTCATCCTTGCCCAGAACAGCAGTACAACACTGGATGCAGAGCCAGGTGGCAGTGTAAACACATTCCTCCACACTCAGGATTTTGCTGTCCCAACTGTGCTACATTTCTGCTGGTTGATGAAAAAGCATCATCTCTCCTGCTTTGATGTTGGGTCCTTTGTAACTGATATATCACAAAAGCAAAGCTAAGTGCCTAATGATAAAGGAAAGCTTTGTCTTGACAGGCCCAGAATTTCCTCTCTCATGTCAAACAAGATGTTTCAAAATGCTTCTAATCTTCTTTTAGAAGTTCAGGTAAAATATTCAGCACCCACCAATCTGGAAGCCTTTGAAGTAGAAACAAACAGCATCATTTCTTCTTCTTTGAGGAGATGTTGCTTTTGGTTGCACAATTAGACCAGAGTGTGGCTCTTTATTAACATGCTTGAAGTATGACAAGGTAGTAAGAGCAGGAACGAGGATAAAGCACCCTGCAAGAGTCTGTGTTCCACCACCAGGGATGGAACTATGCCGAGACATTCCCACATCAGCGGGACCATGACCCTGAGCCACCATTAATCTGGTAAATCATTCACAGCCATTTGGGAGAATGGTGCATTCAGCCTGTCCAGTTCATCTACCTGTGGGGGGTGATGCATTATAACCTCCTGGTCCTCTGAAACATCATCACCCACAGTGACAAGGTTTGTGAGGGATTTGCTCCGAACACACTGGAAATCAACGTGACGGCTTTTGCCCTCTTCCTTCTCCCACGACATCTGGATGAAAGGCCGTTGAACGTAGTTGTAGATAACCTCTGAGCGGCCACCAGGCCTCCTCTTCACCTTCTCTTTGCAGGTGGGATACCCTGAAAACACAGCCAGTCAGTCACGTTACACAGCTCTGATATGCACAAAGGGACAAGAGGATCCCAGAACAGACAGGTAGGAATGACTGGGGGGTAAGGGGGACTTAGGAGATGAACACCCACGTTTCACATTTACCGTTGTTGGTTTGCAAAACTGTTCTTTTTTTTCCCTACAAAGAAGTCCAGGAGGGCTGGGCATTCCAGCCTGAGGGACCTGGGGGGTTCAGTGTGGAGAAGAGAAGGCTCAGGGGGGACCTGATGGCTGCCTCCAACTGCCTGAGAGGAGGATGGAGCCAGGAGGGGCTGGGCTCTGCTCCCAAGGAACAAGGGATGGGACAAGAGGAACCGGCCTCAAGCTGCACCAGGGCAGGTTTAGATGGAGCTGAGGAACAATTCCTGCCCCAGAGGGTGCTCAGGCATTGGAACAGGCTGCCCAGGGCAGTGCTGGAGGGATTGAGCATATGTGCAGATACAGCACTTTGTGACATAGCTTAGTGGCTGCTTTGGCAGTGCTGCTGAACAGTTGGATTCAACGAACTTAAAGGTCTTTTCCAACCTAAATGGTTCTATGAGTCTCTAAAAAAGAGAGTGCAGCTCTGTGTGTAGCTGTATGATCAATGGCTGAGAAGTGCTGGCTGGTTTGTGAGCAGACAGAGCGACTTTAAAAACAAGACAGTGTCCCAGGACAAAGCACAATGTTCTCTAAGCTCCCTAAGGGAATGCCTGGATCAGCAGGCAGAAGTTTTGGGACTCCTGTTTCCTGTTTACTCACTCCTACAGAGAACAGTCTTACTGCTCCATGCTACGTATCTTTTACTTTTCTCTAACATTTAAACCGCCTGACCAATTTCAATGTAATATGATAAAGGTGAAGGAACATGTCCAGCTTGTGATAATTCCATGAAAATAAACACTAGTAAAACACAGAGCAAAGCAGGAAATGCCTTGAGCCCAGAGGAAACCAGGCTTTAGTGTGGAGCCACCTGAAGGAACACTTTACCTTCAATGCCAATGCGAATGTTCTTCAAACCCCGCTCCTTTAAGACAGCTTTTGCCACATCACGGTTCTCGATGTACTTGAAGAATCTGTACAGCTTGGAGCTGTAAAGGACTGGAGGAATAAAAAGGGGGATTAGAATCTACAAGGAGGGACTTTCTCCCTGGTTTTGACATTCTACAATGTGGAAGTTCCTAGAAGGGGACTACAGGAAACCTGGAGATGGGTTTGGGCAAAGGCCTGAAGGGAGAGGCCAAGGGGAATGGCTTGAACCTGCCCGAGGGGAGACTGAGCTGAGCTCTTAGGCAGAAGCTCTTCCCTGTGAGGGTGCTGAGGCGCTGGCACAGGGTGCCCAGAGAAGCTGTGGCTGCCCCATCCCTGGCAGTGTTCAAGGCCAGGTCAGACACAGGGGCTTGGAGCAAGCTGCTCCAGTGGAAGGGGTCCCTGCCCGTGGCAGGGGTTGGAGCTGGAAGAGCTTTAGGGTCCCTTCAACCCAAACTGGTCTGGGATTCTGTGAGGTGTTGAAAACCAGGTCTGGTTTCCAAGAACTACTCCAGCTGTCTGTTCCCATCACTAGGACTAACTGCACTTCCTTGGTGGGAGGGCAGTGATGCACACTGCAGGCTAGATAGAATGGGTGGTGATGGGTGTGTAAAGCAGAGCCAGGAAAAAGCTGAGGGGGAAGCAGCAAATGAAAGGAAGATGCAGTGAATGGTGTCATTACCAATACAGACGGGTCAGACCAAAGCTCTGACCAGGCTCTAGCAGCAGTCAGTTCAGAAGGAACATACAAAGCAGTGTCTCTTCCTTGAGGAAGACTGCTGTTTGGGCAACTTGCCCTATCCTTATAGCCAGATGTTTGAGTGTGTGCTGAACATGGAGCCAGGAGCACCAGTGTCGAGCCCTTACTTTGTGAGTACTCTTCTCCCATTGGAGGTGGATGATCTTCATCCCAGTCCACGGTGTCTTCATCTGTCAGCACCACAATGTGACATTCACGTTCCCCTTTCCTTGCACTATCCACCATTATAGGCAGAATGAGCTCCTCCAGGTAGCTGTCAAACTGCTTGTGAGCACCATCATTGGAGAGCTCATGTAACAGAGCACCTAATAAGACAGACATCATATGATGAATTGTTTTACACAGCAAGGAAGTATGTCCCAGCTCTACACTTTCCATATACATTCAAGAGCACAGCCTGCATTCTTCTTTACACAAACTGCTTAACACATGTTCAGATGCATCAACAGTCTCCACAGCTCCAGAACTGGCAAAATCAGAGGCATGAGACCGTATTTCCAATGGCATACAGATTACACTGCCAAATCATTTTGTCCCTGCCCATGGCGGGGGGGTTGGAACTTGATGATCTTAAGGTCCTTTCCAACCCTAACTATTCTATAATTCTATGATCATTACACTACCATTAAAAGAACACCAAGGTCCAATCAATACAGTGGAACAGCTATAGAATGAATTATTCATTACTAAACCTGAATTTCCAGCACCAACCTCTGTCCTTGAAAGCACATTTTCTGCCTTCTCTGTGATCAGAAGAGAGAGTTGGAAATTCCCCCCCCAGCCTGTGCTGTGACGCCACGTACACCACCCCTCTACAGTCCCTTTCACAGCCTATGTTAAAAGTACTTTTTTTGCCAGCATTCCCACCAAAAAGCTGCTCCCAGTAGGATCCCTTCCTGACTAGGAACTCTCCACTGCTTTCCAGCTTTGGTGTCCTTGGTTCCTGCTCTGCCCATCACCCTTTAGCTTAAATGATTCATGACTCGCTGGTATATCTTAGACAGCAGTTATAGCCCTGCTTTTAGCCTTCATTTTGTTTGGCTGTAACAGAAGGTCTTCTCAGCCTCTGTTATAAGAAGAGTCTATGATTTTAACAAGTTCAATTTGCTTTTTTGAGCAAGGCATCTGTGATTTGATCACTTCTCTCTGGACTGATGCAGCACAAAAAGGAAGCTGTTTAAATGCAATGCATGGATGAGTCTTAGTGAGTCCACACCTCCATGCTAAACTAAAGCCCACAATAAAGAATTGCACTGAATCAGGATCAGAGTGCTCAAACCCATGCAGATGAGCTCCTAAGAGCCAGTTTCTCTCCATACTTACTTAAATCTTGACATTTGATTGTGTTGAAATCAAAGTTTATGCAGAGGTAATCACATGTGTCTCGAAGGTCTGGGATGGAAATCCCATCAGGGCAGTTAATGATCCCGGTTTTGTAATAATCCTGCAAATAAAAGGACAATTTTGGGAATGAAAAATTAACAATATCTTGGACCCTGACAACTTTTCATTACGTCTTTGTTTTGTTAACCAACATTTGAGAGTTACAGAGGTCATTTATAGCTCTGTGAACAGTAAAACCACCCTCCTTGTCCGAAAATTTACACCCCTCTGTCTCTTTGCAGATCCCCTTGGGTCTGACCAACAGTGAGCTCCAGCTAAAACCTTTCCCATGGCAGAGAGTTTCATAACAGCTCATAGGTTACAACAGTGTGACACAAGAAAGGTAAAAGGCAACATCTGAAATGTTGACTCATACCAAAGAGTTTTAATACAATCACAATGCAGAACAGGAATAACAGAACATGGCCCAGGCAGCTGCATCCCCCCTGGGACATGGCTCAGTTTGGCACAAACAGATTGTTTTCTTCCATCTGCAAGCATGTCCTTACCAGCACAGTCCGGAACACAGCTGAGCTGATTCCTTCTGCGATTTCATATTCCCCCTTTTCATTTGGCCGCGTGAAATTGTATTCTCTTCCTGGTCCAAACATTCTGAACAGATAAAAATCTATGTAAGGGCATAAGTATATTGAAATGCATTCATTCTAGAGATCAATAGGTACACTGAGGTTAAACAAATCCAGCAGTGACACATATATACAGTAACAAACCCCACATTTAAATCTCTCACATGGTAAATAAGCACGAGAGCTGTCTCAGCTCAGTCATCCTATAACTGGACTCTTGTTACATCTACTGGATTGTATGAAATAAGCCACAGCTCCAAGGGAGAGCTCATTCAACTCCGGGTCAGAAAATACCCCAGCAATAAAGCCCTTTCACTGACACTACGTGAGATACCCACCACATGCTTTTTGATTCCTTGTTTTACACAACAGCCTCCACAAGGGTCAGTAACCCATTTCCTTTGGTCAGAGATGGGTGAAAGCACTGGCAATACACAAAATGAGTGCTTCCTATTGTGTCAAAAGGCTCCAATCTTTATGCCATGCTACAGGGAGCTGAGTGAATTCTGTCTGGGGAGAGCATCAAAAGATAACAGCAGAAGGGGGATGGAACATTATCATTTCCCCCATTCTGGAAGGGAGGTTATCAGCTGGGAACAGATGCACTGCTTACAAACAAGGCAAACACTTAAACAGAGGCAAAAGGAGACCAGGTCTAGCTAAAAGCACTCATTGTTTGAAGGGAACAGAAAGGAGAATGTTACCTAGAGAACTACCAACTTCTCCTACATATGGGCATGTCTTCAAGCCCTCATAGCCAAGCTCTGAATGAGGTCAACCTGCCTCGCTTGTGTGTACAGATGACAAACAGACTTTTGGAGTTTGTTCCACTGTAGCAAACATTTAATCCCCTTGAGGTATTTTGAAAGCAGTGGCAATGACCCACCTTCCCAGCATGGTGTCAGGGTGAGCAGTGAAAATCTGTGGATTCACTGCAAAGCGAGTGCCATCTACCACGAGCGTCACCTTCTCTGAAGCCACTGGCTGGGAATTGCTGCTTGAGGACAAGGTGCAGCACCCATGGCGTTCCTGGGTGTTAAAATATTCCAGCTGTCTCTTATTTCCATCTTGGAAATGGCAGTTGTGAGTGTCTTCAGGAGCAGGCAACATGCTACTGAGCTGGGGACTTACTGGACAAGGAGTGTGTCGGCATTCAGGATCTAAACCTGAGAGAGGCAAATGAATATTGCAAGAGTCAGATATTGAGGATGCTGAAAAACATCATTTCACTGTAACATTGTAGTAAGAAAACTGAGTCACCCAGGGATGTCAATATATGTAGTGTTATACGTCATAAACTGAGTCATACAGGGATGTCAGGGTAATGTTACATGACATAAAAACACACTGCATTTTAAAACCGAGCCAGCGGTTGGATTGTGAATAAGAAAATTCCTGATGAACTATGATGCTTAATGCTCCTTGTTAAAGCAAGGAGCTTCAGTGTGTAAGAGCAGGAGCCCAGGAATACAGACACAGAGTCCCAGCACTGACAGCTACTCTTACAACAAAGCAGGAGCAGAAGCACACACCACACTAGAGGTGGTTGATGCTGCTCCATGGTGGGCACACAGCTCATCAGGAATGTCCAGCTACCTCCAGTTAATGTGCTCAGGAGGAGCTGCAAGTTGGCCAGCCAGGGTGTACCTGTGTGATGTTCTTGCTAAAACAGCAAGACCCCAAACTCTGTGGACCACTGTCCTTTAGTCCAACCTGGAAAAGGCAGGATACATATCCCCCACGGCAAACTGCCTTGGGATACTGGATTTTTCCCAAAACACAGCACTCCCCCTGAAAAACAGAACAGCTCTAAACCCCTCTCACTGCTAAGGACAATGCTAAGAACATTACCCTCAGTCCTGGGAGCTGCAGCTGGGCTGTGACCTCCTAACACCACGTTACTTGCTTCTGACTCCTGGACTGCTACCGTTGTGCTCCCCACAGAACAAGTGGACTCTGGATTTCTTGGCCAGTCTGTGCCAGCAGCACAGTTCACATTCATGCTGGGCCTCCGTGACGAGAGGAGTTGGCTGCGTTTCCTAAGAGAAGAGCTAGGAGAGAAAACAGCAGGTTGTTGGTTTCGGAAGAAACTCCCAAGCAATGCATCCCTTGTACCTGGAACAACAAGCAAAGCCTCCCAGGCTCAAAAGGTGTTTCTTCAGACACTTAGCTGTGTTTCAGAAGGCTAATGATGCTGGTTGTGGCCCTATGCTTACCTAAGGTGAGGGAAATAAAGCTGTTATAGTAATCAGGGGTCTATTTAATCTATAAACCTTTGCTTATTAAAAAGTAAGTCTAAAGCCACTGATGCCTTCAGAGAACACGTGTGATCCTACAACTACCTCCCTGGTAATTACCTCACCTCCACACCACATCTCTCTGGATTCCCAGCACTGACAAAATGAGCTCTGTAACATAGCTATAGCCCAAACCCCAGCATTTTCCCAGTTAACAGCTCAGGCATTGCCTCTTAACCCCTCTGAGGTCTGAACGAGGCTCCCTGGTCACAGATACTGCATTGTGTGGTCTTCCCTTCTTGATTCATCACCCTGTTGTCATATAGTGCTCATCCCAGTGTTTAACCCAATAGAGTCACAGAATCACAGACTGGTTTGGGTTGGAAGAGACCTTATGATCATCCAGTTCCAACTCCCTGCCATGGGCAGGGACACTTCACACTCGACTATGTTGCACGACACACACGACAATTGAACCAATGCCACTCAAATCATAACTGCTCTTTCAGCACATGCAAAGACATCTTCTTTGGTCACTTTTCCCTCCTTTTTCTCTTCCTACAGATCTCCTTTGCTGTCTCTTTCCCTCATTCTCCCCTTGGCATTGATGTTTTCCTGCTACTGCCCTGGACAAGACACCACTCTCCTTTCTTGGCTGGATGCTTTCCTTTTCACTCTCCCAAACACCAATTTCCTCATGAATGAATGTTCCCAATTTCCCCCCTGCAGAACAATTGTCCTGTGTCCTTTGCTTGGCTGAATTCAGACTCCAGAGCCCGTGGGTGCCATCCATGGCAGAACACTGACAGGGCTGGACACAAACCAGATGCAATCCAGCAGTAACAAACCACCAAAATGCCAAATGAGAGTTGGAGAGTTTGCTGGGCAGGACCTGCTGAGGATGAAGGTCTTAATGAGCAGTTCAGTGCTGGGTTTCCAGTCAGTTACTGCCATTTCAGTCTTAATTGGAAACATTCAAAAGCAATAACAATTCCTTCCTCTTGCCCCATCAATCCAACAGGAGTTGCCAGCATTATCTGTATATAATATAAACGTGATGCTTACACCTCATGCCAGGCTCATCAGAAGGAAGATTCCTGGCAGCAGCAGAACCCTGTGAAAAGCTGCTGTATTTTTTCTTTTCCAAAGGCTGCAGCAGCAACACAAGGAGCCTACGAGGGTCATGGGAGCTCCTGCAGACTCAACAGTGTGCAGGGCATCACCATCCTCCTCTCCCTCTCCCTCTCCCTCTCCCTCTCCCTCTCCCTCTCCCTCTCCCTCTCCCTCTCCCTCTCCCTCTCCCTCTCCCTCTCCCTCTCCCTCTCCCTCTCCCTCTCCTCTCCCCAGATACCCAATGCTGGATCAGAAACTCCCTCTCCTGACACGTTCCACGTTGGTTTCTTGGACCCTGGAGAGACCCTTCACCAGTCCCACCAGAAACCCACCACACACCATGAATACTGCTTTGTGTTTGGTCACACATGAACAAATCCATCCCCTTCTGCCTGAGCAAGGGGCAACACAACGTCCCCATGAATAAACCTGTGCAACATTCTGCCCTCTTCTCTCATGGGACAGACCAGCAAGGTAGTAACAGGCCAGTGGGCTGCTGGGTGAGGAGCCCCTCGGATCTAAGCAGAACATACCAACTGCCCCACTCTTGCAACTTCAGGACATATCTCCTGTCCCGGGAATGATCTATGTTAATGGACAAAGGGGAATAGCTTCAACCAGAGGGGAGACTGAGCTGAGCTCTTAGGCAGAAGCTCTTCCCTGTGAGGGTGCTGAGGCGCTGGCACAGGGTGCCCAGAGAAGCTGTGGCTGCCCCATCCCTGGCAGTGCTCAAGGCCAGGTTGGACACAGGGGCTTGGAGCAAGCTGCTCCAGTGGAAGGTGTCCCTGCCTGTGACAGGAACTGGATGAGCTTTAAGGTCCCTTCCAACCCAAACCAGTCTGTGACTTTATGTCAAACAGCATGAAAAACCCCTACAGAGTGCATTTTCACAACTAGCTGGGTATGCTGAATGTTGCCGTGCCTGTTCATCACCTTCAGCTTTGACTTAAACACACGCACAGTTCTAGAAACCCTGTGTGCCAGTCAGCAGAGTCCTCTACTGTAAGTTCTCAGAAACTACTTGTAGAACTACCATCTCTATGTCTTGTAGCTTCACATGAGCAACAAAACATGAATTTCCCCTGATCATCCCCCCCATCCCTTTTCTGCTTCATCTGTTAAGCAGGATTTTAGGGCAAAAAGCCCCACAACTTTAGACTTTTTTCTCCTCATTCTTTTATGTTACATAAAGTCCAGCACCAGCGAAAGGTGTTAAAAGCTGCAGTGATAGGAAGATGCAGAAACACCAATGCTCTTTGCAATAGCTGTGGCTGTGACCAGCATCAGATCTGAGTTTCCTCATTAAATCTACAGGAAGCCCTGTTGATAATCTGCCCTGGGCCAGGCTAATGCTATTTCCCTGTTCCCTCTTGGCATGCCCAGATCCTACACATTATGCGTCAGCAGAATTGAGGTAAATGAGTAAGGATTCCTTTAGCACAGCTGGCTGGGACAATACAGATCCAAAGTAGTCATTTTCCATGACAAATACACTGCAATCATACATACAACCCAGCAGGGAAACCAGTACATAAAGACTTCAGAAGGTTCTACTCATGCCCAACCAGCTTACAAATGTCCAGGTTTCTTTTCATGGCCAGGATCAAGGCGCACTACCCATAGTGAGAATAAATACCTATAAATAATAATTAGCACTATTCATCTTCAAAGCTTCATACAATTATGAACTGCTCCTTCCTCCTGGCAGCCCTAGGAAGCACTGCAGGGAAGTCTTTTAGGAGAGAAGGACACTGAGAAACATCATCTTCAGGACTAGCCAGAGCATTAGGCTCAGTGTTACACTGACTTGCAGCACGTTCACTCCTCGAGCTCATCAGCAATTACCCTGTGGTTAGCAGGGCAAACACAAGCAGGTTCCCATCTTCTTTTGAGGTGTGTTTCCATGCACGTTTCTACCCTCTGGTAAGCATCAATTGGCTGGTACCACAGAACTGATCATGAGCAACCCCACTTCTTAGCTCACTTCTCAGGTGCTTGTTTGGATGCTCAGATCCTGAAGAAGCAGGCAGGGACCAGCCTGAGCTGAAGACTCAGGATTTGTGGGCAGCTGGATTTTGGGAGCTGGGAAGTCAGGAGTAACAAAAGCCCAATGTCATGCTCAGCACTAAAGCTCAGAGAAAGAGCTCCTCAACAGGCTGGGATTTAAAAGGAAATCAGTGTCACAGTCAGAAATCAAACCTCACATCTGACTCTGGCCACTGGCTCTGCCTAACTTGGAGCACGTGGGTCCCTCCTCCCTCCAGAATACGACATTAAGAATAAGCCATGCAACTGAGGCAGCATCTCTGCACCCCAGTCCACGTGCTGGTGGTCACAGTGAAGTCATCTTTATTTGAACTTGTTTTGAGCCAACACTTTTGCTGAGAGAAAAACAGGGAAGTGAGGTTGCTTTTCTAAACACAAACTGGAGACAGATTTATTTAGCAATGTCCTTGGCACAATCGGTTCATGCTGCAAACCTTTTGCAGAGATAGAGAGGCTGAGCCTTGTTCTATGCAACTCTTAAGAAAGAAGGAATTGTACTGGGGTATCTTTAGCACATTATTCTTCCCCACCCTAAGGAATCCAAGGCTCATCCAAGCTTCCCAAGGTATACAGTCATTGCCTGGCTATTGGAAGGAACCAAATGGCTTAACTTGCACACAATGACCAGTACATCAGTGATGTGTGTGTAGAGGAAACGTTCCAACACAGTAACACATCCATTAGAGAAAACCCCTTTAAATGCAGGACATTTTATGGAGCAAAAGGTAACAAAAGTATCTCAGACTTGCTGGTTTCCGACTCTTGTGTTACTTGTTCCTTATTATCGTTACCCTTGGGATTTTGTATTAAGAACCATTATAAATTATTTCAGGTATGAAGATTCAAGAACTTCACAGAAATATCAAAAACAAAACAAAACAAGAAAACATACAAAGCTGAGGTGGCAAAATCCATTGAAGAGTAAAGCCCTTCCCTGTAACATCTGACAGCATATGCACTGCTTCACTGGCATCCAGCACAGAATCCCAGACTGGTTTGGGTTGGAAGGGACCTGAAAGCTCCTCCAGCTCCAACCCCTGCCACGGGCAGGGACCCCTTCCACTGGAGCAGCTTGCTCCAAGCCCCTGTGTCCAACCTGGCCTTGAGCACTGCCAGGGATGGGGCAGCCACAGCTTCTCTGGGCACCCTGTGCCAGCGCCTCAGCACCCTCACAGGGAAGAGCTTCTGCCTTAGATCCAACCTGAACTTCCCCTGTTTCAGTCTGAACCCATCACCCCTTTGTCCGGTTCCTACAGCCCCTGATGAAGAGTCCCTCTCCAGCACGACAAGGAGGAAGTGGTAAAAGAGTAAAAATAGTAGAAGTAGTGACCTTACTTCACTGTTGGGTTTGTGAGTAGCAAGGAACAACCTGCACTGAGTAAGTGAATCAGAGTTACTAATCCTTCCCTCTGCCTGAACCACGGCGTAACCGTGAGGACTTAAATAAAACTGCAAACAACTCCTTTCCAGGGTGACAACGCTGCTTGAAACCTCCAAACCCATTCCCATGTCCAATTATTTTCAGAAATGTGAGCAAGCAGGAAACACGCATCCACAGGGTGTGCCTGACCTATTTCTGCAGTCAGACACTCCAGAACAAGATGTACTTCTAATATAAATGCATGCAACCAAGAAAAGCTTGGAATTACTTTAAT